AGTACATCGTGAAGCTGGCCACGACCGACTCCGCAATGCACGTCCACAGCGACATCTTCTACGCCCGCTCACATCTGGCGGTGGAGCACTTCCTCGAACAAGGCGACATTCCGTTCACGAGCCTCCGGCCGAACCTCTTCCACAATAACGTGGTTGGCCTTGACTTGGCCTCGGTGGCAAAAACGCACCAGTTCAGGACCATGGCTCATGGCGCCTCGGTGGCTTCAATCGACCCCGCTGACGTGGGGAGGGCTGCGGCCGCACTCTTGTCCTTGGACGACCCTTCGCCCCACTACGGCCAGAAGTACACGCTGACCGGACCTGAGAATATCAACGATCAAAGGTTAGCTGTCACCCAGGTGCCTGCCGTTTATCTGTTTCTTTGGCTCAATTTATACTTTCTCTTTCAGCGTTGGTGAAGTGCTCCAGGAGGTGCTGCAAACAGACGTCAAGTTCGCAGGCGGCGTCAGGGACGACGAGTTCCCGGCCCTTTTTCTGGCGGCCCTCGCCAAGCTGAAACAGGGCAAAGGCGATCTGGCACACACAGCCACCTCTCCGGAAATTCTGGCTCTCGCCCCACCCAGAAGCACTTTCAAAGACTATGTCACCCATTACTTTGCTAAGCGCGTGTAAGCTTTGATCACTGGCCAGAATTACAAACCATTAAAAGTATTCTTGGACACATAAAGCTGCTAGCGGCACAGTTGGGAATCTGGAAGATGTGCCTGAAACAGATGGTGAGGATGAGCTGGTTGAGTCCAGAGGCCGGGAGCGCAGATGGCTGGGCGGGGCATAGCAGTTTGAGATGGGAGCGCGTTGTAGTCCAGTACTCAAGTAGGAAGCCAGCACTTGGATTGACGCGAGATGGTGGGCTTGGTGCGGAATCCCAGCGGTTGCGTGACCGAATCGAGCTGGAGGTTGGGTTGTGAATAATGCGCTCACTATTGTTTATCCATGCCTGAGCCAGGCAATGAAGAGGCCGAAAGCGGTTGCGCCGACCGACCACGCCTAAATGCCCTGCCATACATTCTCGCCGCCGGGCTTTTCGTGCACGAGCTCCTTGGTGGTGTCGGGCTCCGTGTAGGGTTCGAATTCTTTGGCGCGCAGGTTCTTCAGTTTGGTCGCATTCCAATCGCAGTTGGCGTGGCCCGACGCTTTCTGAGGTTGGCTTCATAATGTCAATCGACCAGAGCTTGCCTTCCGGATTGCGTCTGTGCGCTTGCAGGCTCGACCCGTCGCCCGAAGTGGTCACGCGATCGAATCGTGTGGTTTGGCGCCCGCACAAGGTGATGGTGCCGCCCACGAAACAGACCTTGACCTTTTTGACCCCGTCGTGCGTGCAGAGCGCGATCCGGTTGGGTAAAGAGGTGGCGAGAGGCGTCTGCGGCAGAATCGTGCGTGCTGCGTGTTGCATGGGGCGATTGAAGCGGGGTCCACGGCAGGCTAGTGTTTGACGCATGATGGAGTTGTTGTTGTTGTGAAATGAATGAACGAACGCTTTGGTTTTTATGTCGCGTATTCGATATAACAGGTGCACTCGGAAATGATGCGCGCGTTCTCTCCGAGGTTGATGATTTCGACCTCCCAGTCCTCGGGGGTGTGGTGGGATTGGAACGCCAGCTCGAGCGTGACGTCATTGATCTTGGACATCATGATCGCGGCGTTCTCGCCCGCCATCCTCATGCAATCGCGCCCAAAGGACACCAGCATGCTGTCGTCCTCGGGAATCTTGAGGCCCGACTTCTTCCAGTTGAGCTCGGTGAGGTCGCAGAGATTGAACGCGTACGTCAGGTGGTTGTCGAGACGGACTGCCACGGACACGATGGGGTGTCCCTTGTGGGGCGCGCCGCGCTTGTTGCACGAGGCCCGTCGACCACAGGGAGCCGAGCTTGACGCGCCCGAGACTGGAGACGGGCAGCCAGCGCTTGTCAACGTGGAACATGGGGTACTTGTTGGGCGCGACAATGTGATTTACAAGCGGCGGCATGGTGCCGGTCGTCGACAGATCATGGTTATCCTGGGTCGAGAGGAACACCGTGTCGACCTCGAGCGCCACGTCGAACGCCAGCTTGATTCCCTTGATGCTCATGTCCTCGGGGATGTCATCTGGGATCCCGACGTTGAAATCCTCCTTGAAGTGGATGTTGTTGATCGTGGCCGCTTTAGGATAGAAGGTCGCTTCAAGCTGAAGGCCGCCAGATTGTTGCCAAAGGCTTCTTGCAGCAGATCTTTGCCATGGCCTGTCCACCATCCATAGCAGCCTGATGCAGTGACAAACAAATGGAACAGATTGTTGAGCTGAATGAAATGGGGTTTGACCATGGCCAGTAGAGGCCCATGCAGCCTTGTGTCCACATCCCAGTTGGTCACCTGTTTTTTTTGTGAGGCCAAGGAAAATGAATTTCTTTCAACACTGAGAAGTTTGTTTTCTTCATCCTGCCACCATGGATGAGCCACTGCAAAAGGCCCTATGCTCAGCAATATTTTCCTACATGATGACAAGCTCATGTGCAGCATCTGCCCTCAGAGCTCATTGAAATGACCATGTTGTTCATAAAGGCATACAAAGATGGCCTGGGATCATTCTCCTCTTCTTTTTCTTCTTCACTTTCCAAGGAATGGCTGCACTGGTTGTCCTTCTTACCACTCTCTTCTTCCTCTTCACTTGCTTCACTACTGGACATATGCTCAAGGATGTGCTTGATCAGGTCTGCCTTTGGGCCTGACACAGGAAGACTGTTCTTGTGAAGAAATGCCTGCAGCTCTGTAACAATGTACCTGAAGACATTGGCATGCATGAGCAAGCCCTAAGGAAGGGGGGTGCAAGGATGGAAGGATGGCTGAACCATGTGTTGATCTCATCAAAGGAGACACCCGCCTCAAGGACAGGCTTGGTGGAGGAAGATGCACTCTTCTTTGCTGTGGTACAAGGCATGCTGGGTGGGTTAGGGTTCGGCTTCTCTCTCTGTTGCGTCCGAAATGTGAAGGCGAGGTGGTGTGCGTTCTTCGCGCCAACTTGGAGCTGCTCCAACTACCGGTGCAACATGCACTGCCTCGATAACCAACGCACCTTGAGTGAAGCCAAGTGATGCGCCGTGAGACACCACCACTTGTTTACTTGTAAACAAGAACACCACTCAAGGGATGGAGCTGGTGTCCCAGTCTTTTTCGATGAGCACACTGTGGTTGTTGGTGTAGGTCTCTATGCCGCCAAAGATCATTGGATTGTCGACGCGCAATCAGTTTGAGCATCTGCGCTTGAGTTGCGCTTTGGCGTCCACACACACAATACGCTTGATGCATCCCTTGAGAGTTTCGACAAGATCGCTGTGTTCGTGTCGTTGGCCCATGATGATTTCGTACACCAGACCCTGGGCGTCCTTGTTGATGTAGTAGCACTTTAGTGTATCCCGTTTGGCGATGATGCACTTGAGGATCTGTCGCGTGACATCCATGGTTCTCAGTTTTTGTTGGCTGTGGTGCCGTCGACGGCCTCCTCGCGCAATCGCTTGCGAGGTGGCGCCGACAACTGGTGCATGAATCGTTTGCAACCAGGCGGGGGGCTCGTCTAGACGATCTCACGGATTTCATTGGATGATGGCATGCTGGGGCATTGGTTGTCACACACCAGAAGATCCTCGTCCATGTGATCCGCCTTGAGTGCCGTCTGGAAAACGCTCGCGTCCCACCACTGGCGTTTTGCGCGCGCCAGCTTGATGGTGTCAAGATCGCCATTGAGTACAGCCGCGCAGTACAGTGCCAGTGGACACGAGAATCCCTCCTTGAGCATCCGACGAGCGACGGACAGGTGGTGATTCTGTAGGCCCGATCGACAGCGTCGCTGCTGTGTGCGCCCATGGCGCGGAGAAGCATCGCGACGTCAAAGTGACCTTGTCGAGCGGCGGCGTCGATCGCATCCCTCGTGGCCTTGCATCCGTTGTCCAGAAGCCACCCGACCACATCGCAGTTGCCCTTGCTGGCGAAATCTCCAGTGACTCCCTTCGCGTCCCAGGCATGTCCTTCGATCGCAGCCACCTCACCATGTTGGCTTGGCCGGCGGACGACGCGCGCTGGCACACATCCGGGCGGCACTTCATGCCGGTGTTGATGGCCCATGCAAAAATGTCCTCTCGGCCGCGCATCGCCGCCGCGGTGAGCAGATCGGAATCAAACGTGGGCCAACTGTTCTGGATGGCGTTGCTTGTTTGGACCAGGAGCTCTGGATGTAGACCGCGTTGGCCCGTGCGGCCGCACGCCACATACGCCAAGGGCCTTTCCTTGCTGCAGCACTGGCCAGTCCGAGCCCTGCGATCTATTTCGTCGACATGGTTAGGATTATAGCGAATATTGGCGAAGGTCCAGCGAATTGCTGAACAAATGGTCCAATCAGAAACAGGTGTCACTGGCTCTTGCTTCAAATTTACCGGCAACTTCCACTTTGCACAATAAAAAGCTCGCTGCGCCATCGTCGCCTTCCAACCCACAACAGCACAAGCCGCTTCACACAACCAGCAGCAGCCCTACACACCAACATCAACATCATCATGAAGTCCATGAACAAGAAGGCCACCACATCCACGATGAGCTCCTTCGTCAAGAAGTTCGTGCCGCCGGAAGTCTACCCGCTGCTCGTGCCCGTGACGTTCGCCTGCGGCTTCGGCACCTACATCGGCTACCGCACCCTCGTGGGCGCGCCCGACGTGCACGTCTTCGGCCGCCAGCCGCGCTTCGAGTCCGGCCACCACCGTTCCGACCCTCACTTTGCCGGCATCCACTCCAAGGCCTCGCGCTTCGACCCCCACCCCGAACTGGGCCAGGCCGAAGCCAACTTCCACTCCTCCTACGCCTCGTCCGACTCCAACAACAGTTACTAGTCCGTGTTATGATATGACACCTCGCCTTTGTAAAGATGCTAGTAAGGAGGGAAGACTACCATCAAGTGTAAATAAAACTAGCATATATGGTTTTTCTTGTCAAGACATGAGCGCACCATTGCAGCGGGCGCAGTCTCGTGCAACGAATGAACCAGTGGCGAGGGTGAAGAGTCAAGCGATCAAATAAATAAGAGTATAATCATTAACAATACGCGAGAGAGACACGCTCACGGCATCGGCGTAGGCTCAAGAGGATGCGTTGACGATCTGGCTGTCGAGCCTGACCTGCTGGAAGGCGTTGAGCCAACGCAGGCCGTCATCCTTGGACGGCGCCTCCATGTAGTAGGTGCGCGGGGCGGTCCCGCCGCCCTCGCCGCCCACGATCTTGGTCTTGAGCTCGATCAGGTTGTTTCGCTTCAGCGTCGGGTGCGTGACGTAGAAGCTGATGTCGGCCACCTTCTTGAGAGGCACCACCCCGCACGGCTTCCGCTTGTCCTTGGGTCTGCACAACGTAGAATCAAAAATTAACATTTGTGCCGTGTGCGGTGTTGTGCGTGCGTGTGCGTGCGTGTGTGCGGTGTGCAGGTGTACCGGTAGTACGAGAGGTGCGTCTCGGTGAGGATGAACCATCGGAGCTGCCACTTGTCGGACAGCTGAATGTAGTACTGCTGCCCCGCCAGTTTCACGAGCCCGCCTGCATTGGAATGGTCAGACCCCGCAGTGGGCGTCGGCGTGCACCTATCGTTGTCGTGTACCTTCATGCACGATCTTGCTTGAGCTCGCTTCGCTCTCGTCCCCCGCGTCATCGCCGCCGAGGAACAGGTCCTGTCCGTCCCCGCTGGGCTCGCGCGACCGGGCCTGCCCCACGCTGGGCGCCCCGCTGCTCGTCGGCGGTGACGGGATCGACGACGCTGTGTAGGGGTGAACCGACGTCACAGCCCCCGCCGCCGCGGCCTTGGGCGCCCGCGCTCCGCCCAACGACGGCCCGGCCGTCTGCGCCGCCGGCGCGCTGAGTGCGCCCGACGAGTTCTGCGCGACCGAGATTCCGCTCTTCTTCATCCACCCGCCGGCGCCCACCGTGATGCCGCGACCAAACGCCGGCGCTGGCTTGGTCGGCTCCGTCACCGCCGCTGCGCTGCCAGCGTCGCCGCCCACCGCGCCGGCGGGCGGTGTCGACACCGTAGCTACGGTGCCCGCGCCAGGTGTCGACATCGCGTACTCGGCGAGGTCGGTGTCGAGCTTGCGGAAGTTGGACGGGTCGGAGATGTGGAATCCCTGGCTCTCGTCTTCGCGATTGCCCGGCGCCGAGAACAGTCGATTCCAGATGCTCGACATTCCACCCCCGCTGCCGCTGCTGTTCGTGGTGGTCTCGCTGTGGCCTCCACCGCCTCCGCTACTGGTGCCACCGCCGCCGATCCCGCTGCCGCTGCCGCTGCCGATCCCGCTGCTGCCGCCGCCGCCGCCAGCCGGAGGCTGTGGTGATTTTTTTCGCTTTTTCTCCTCTGCCTCTTCGAGTCGCTTCTGCTCGCCCTCCCTGCGCTTCTCCTCCTCCCAGAGGCTCTTGGTCACCTCGTCCCTCGTGATCGCACCCGTATCGTACATCGTGAATCGCGTTCTGTGTCCATACGTACGCTTGTTTAGTGCATTCTTTCCTGCGTGTGCGGCGGTGCGTGTGTGCGTGTCTACGTGCGTGCGGCGGTTACGGGAGGGGGTCTACCTTGTCTTTAGCCGGCTCTCGGCCGGCTGGGCGCCTGGGCTGGGTTCGGTCGTTGGCGGTGGCTCTTCAAGTTTGCCCCTGAGTAGGGCCATCTGCAACTGCTCCGCTTCCTTGCTGCCCGGCAGCAGCACCTGACTCATCCTATGGTTCGCCGCGATCACACACACAGGGCCGCTCGTAAGGGACTGGAGCGGCGCAGGTGAGGCGAAGGTGTGAGTAGTGCGTACCGGGTGGTGAGTCGCCTCTCGAATTTGCCCGAATTGACGAATCGCTTGTGGCGCTCCTCGATGAAGGTGACAAAGAGCTGGGCCTGGGTCACCAGTTCCAGCAGTGCCCTCATATCCGCCGGCCTGCTCTCAATAAATCTAGACATGCACACGCACCACCGCACACACCGGCACACACCGCACACACCGCACACACCACACACACCGCACACACCGCACACACCGCACACACCACACACACCACACACCACACACCACACACCACACACGCACACGTCGATTAGTCAGGACCGACCTAGAAATTGGAAGAAAGTGTGAGAGGGGTGCGTACCCTTCACTGTCAAAGTATTTGGAGTTGAATCCGTTCTCGACCGGGTTGAAGGCGGCGGTGGTGACGTCCGGCTTGACGGGCGTTTTGCGCATGAAGTCCTTGTAGGTGGCGAGGAGGTCGACCATGAAGGCGATGAACACGTTCTGGAGGTCCTTGACCAGCGCCTTCGACAGCGGTTTGCGCTCCTTGGCCTTGGGCTTGCCCATGAGCGAGCCCAAGATGGAGAAGGAGCTTTGCGAGCCGGGCTCGACCCCGCGCACCTCCCTGCAGATGCGCTGCAGGCTCTGCAGCAGCGGATCGAGCAGCACCGGCGGCACCAGCTTGACGTCGTCCATGTCCTCCGGGAACAAAACCTTGTTATTGTCGACATCCACAACCACCACCTGCATGCGTGTGCGGTTGTGCGAGTGCGTGTGCGGTTGTGTGTGTGCGACGGTCAGTGGTGACGTCATCAAGGCAGAGCGGGAGGGGGAGGGGAGGTGTCTGACCTCTTCCATGGCGTCGGAGAGTGTCTTGAGTTCGGCCAGGTGGACGCGGAGGATGCCCACGAGGAAGGGCATCGGGGCGCAGCAGAAGGAGAGCAGAGACTGGGGCACCACCGGAATGAATATGTGCTGCCAGTTGAACGGATACAAAATCTGTCCACGCGCTCCTGCATCAGTACCACACAACACACGCAACACACGCAACACACGCAATGCATGACACACAGCGCACACGACCCGCACGGCACGCATGCGTGGGAAGGTGGAATGCATACGGATGCGGCGGCTTGCACGCAGGAGGAGAGGGTGTTGAGATTGGTCGCGATGAAGATCATTCTTCGCTCCATGAGCAGTGATGCCAGGATGCTGAAGCAATGTAGCGCACAACGTGGCATGGCATGGGTGTGGTGAGAAGAAAGAAAGAAAGAAAGAAAGAAAGAAAGAAAGAAAGAAAGAAAGAAGAAAGTGGACGTGCGCTTGTGGCAAGGTTCACGATTTAGGGAGTAGCGCGCACCTGGCGATGTTGGGGGCGTCGAGGAAATGGAGAAGCGGTTCGAAGTTGACGTGGTCCAGCAGTGATTCGCTGTCGTCCGGCCGCGTGAACGCGTACTCGACGACATCGCCTGCCGATGTGTGCACGCCGAAGACGCGGATGCGTGAGGAGAACCGGAAGAAAGTGAGGAACCAACCGTTGAATCGCCTGTCGCGGTGCGTACCATTGATCTGCTTGGTCTGTCCTGATTGTTGCGCGCGTGTAGCGGGTTGCGTGCCAGGTTTCCCGTGGTTGGGTTCGGCAGCCTGCGGAAGAAGAGAGAGAATGAGGTCAAGTAAGAAGAAGTGAGGCCAGCGACACCGCACACGCACGCACACGCACACACACGACACACACACACAGAGAGAGAGAGGTACCTGCGCTGGGAAGAGGGTGAGAGGTAGTGTGAGACGAAGGGTGCCGCCGGGTATGGGCAGCGGTTCCCTGTAGACCGCATTCAGAAATTGCGTGAACGCCTCGAAACCTGTCGCAAGAGTCATTGGGTCGTTTGTTAGACGATGGTGCGGTGGGAAAGAACGAAGAAGTACATCAAAAGAAACGAAGGGCAGCACGCACGCACACGCGCGCACACACACACACACACACCGCGCGCGCGCGCACGCACGCACGCACGCACACGAAGGAGAACACGAACCGCCATCGGCCTTCTGGAGGCTGGTGAGCTCCTGGAGGATGGTGGAGAAGATGCTGAAACAGGGCAGGAAGCTGATGATGCAGATGCACTGCGGGAAGGGCGCCGCCTGGCTGGGGCCCGGCGCCCGCAGGCAGTAGCCCCACCGCTTGGCCCCGTTGCTCTCGGTCAGCGTGAACGAGAAGGTCTCGCCCTGCTGCTGCTGGCCGTACGACGTCGCGAACGACGTGTTCATGAAGCTCGCGAGCGACAGCGCCGGCGGCAGATCGGGGAAGCAGAACTTCTTGACCGCCTTGTACAGCTTGCGCTCCTCTTCGGCCGCCTTCTGCCGCTCGCGCAGCTGTCGCGCGTCGAGACCCGCAGCGGCGCCGGCAGCGGCGGTCGGTGTGGGCGGCAGGCCCCGTTGGGGCGTGGGTCGCAAGCCTCGGCCGGCGGGCTCGACTGCGGTGGCTGCTGAGGCGGCGGCCGAGGTGCCGGCAGCGTCGCGCTGCAGCGGCGGGAAGCGGTAGCGGAGGTGGGGCTTGACGATGGGGGTCGAGGTGGGGTCGCGCCGGTCCGGGCGTAGGGCCACAACGACCACGTAGTCGAACAGCCTCGAGGGCGGAGGCAGCATCATCGCGCCCTGTAAAAAGAAAATTAAATTGAACGCATAAATGCGCTTTAAATCAATTAATCAAGATTTGCGAGGTTTGTATAATAAATGAATTAATATTGTTAAAATACAAAGCCATAACGAAAAAGAAATACCGAGGCCAAGCGAATCAAAACCTGAAGGTGGGGCCTACGCGAGACAAGCCAGCAGGTAGCAAGGTCTTGTTCGGCACGTTCACGCAAGTGTTGCTGTATTGTTATTGCTTGCCCCTGACTTATTATTCGCAGACACTCCCGAAAAGAAAGAAAATAAATGATAAATTACAAAAGTCTTCGCAGCAAACACTCTAAGGATACTTCCGAGTGGGCGAGCTGAGGCGGTTAAAATCGCAGAAAATTCCCAATGGCCACCGTGAACTTGTCACTCGGGGTGGTGCAGGTGTGATGCTCGTGCGTGAAGAATATGGTGAGGGACAACAGGACGAACACGACACCATCGTTTGTGGCCGCGGCGGACAGTTCGCGGGAATTGGCAACAGAGAGACTGGTTCGGGCCGCGAGCTCACGAATGTTGCGGCATGCCCACTTCATTGTTCCCTCTTCACCTTCCTCGCGCTTCATCTGGCCCACACAGCATCGCGTGGCGGTGCAGTGACATCACCATCACCAAACTCAACCCTCTGCCTCTGTGGCCAGCAATAACCTCGACGTTACAGACTTCAACACATACATACACACATATGACTTCCTCGTCGACGGTCATGACTGACACGTACACGAGCGCCATCCTCTTTGGCACCGAGCTGAGGGCCGATGGCTCCTCCTCAAAACCCTACACGGTACCTATCCCCCCCCCCCAAGCCACCCATCCCAAGGCCTGTGGTAACCCCTCCCCTCTGGGCTCTAGGTGTTCCAGGTCATGGTGAGCCGAGGCCAGGACCAGTGGGTGGTGCTGCGACCCCACTCCCTCTTCACCGCCCTCCACGCCAAGGTACCCCGGCACCCACCTCCCCAGCGTGAGAGCGATTGCAGGGAACTTAAGGTCGTGGTGTTGTCGTTGCACACACGTGCGCAGCTGAAGGACAAGTTCGCCTACGCCGTCAAACGCCAGAACCTCCGCGTTCCCAAGGGGTGCGCCACCACATCTCCTTCCTGCTTCAAAGTCAGAGCGCGAATGCGATGGAAAAGTCGCTCACGACTTGCCACCACTCAGGAAGAAGCTGCGTTCGGCCCCGTCGCCGGTGGTAATCAGCCGCGTGCACCGCAAGCTGCAGCGCTACCTGGTCGGCCTCTTCTCCGAACCGCAGCTGCGCACCAGTCTCGAACTCGACCAGTTCCTCTCTGCCGGCCAGCAGCCAATCAACGGTGAGCCCCACGCAGTTGCCCCTCCCCCATTGGTCATTGTCGATTTACACCTTATGCACCCCCTTCAGAGTACATGCACATCCTGCAGCCCTTCCTGGACACGATCTGCCAGCTGGGCGAGATCGGCGAGGCGCCCGAGCCCAAGACCTCGCCCCGCGGCGAGGTGCTGTCCTACGCCACGGACAAGGGCATGCAGGGCGTGGCCGAGGGCGGCCTGATCGGCCTCGACGTCCGACTCTCCGGCTACCTCGCCATGTACTGATCTTTCGCCTCTCAGGCTCCACTTGCCGGTTCGAAGCTTCGAGCTCTCACCAGTTCCGAACAGGAATCAGAAGGGGCAGTGGCGAGATCGGTTCTTCCAGCTGCGCGGCACCAACGCGCTGTTCATGTTCAGTTCGGCCAAGGACTCGATACCGCTCAAGCTGTACAACCTGTGTGGCTGCAAGCTTGCCCTGGCACAGGGCGAAGACGTCGAAGGCGCCAAGGTGAACCCCCTCGACTCTCCATTGTTACTCCATTGGCCGTGCAAACCCACATCACCACGACCTCACCGCCTCCATGACCGCAGGCCAGCGATCACTGTTTCAGGATGACGTGGACGAAACTGCGCGAGGGCAAGGAGGCCAAGAAGTCAGTCATAACCTTCGCCACCCGTTCCGGTACTGACCCCTTTCGTTCTTTTTGAGCTCCGATCAAGCCCGGAACTAAACCTTCGCATTCGTTCTTTGATGTGCAGAGGAGGACCTCGGCGCGTGGGTGTCGCACCTCAATAACTTTGCGCTGGCTCGCGCCGATGCGCTGATCCGCAAGCGGGTCCCCGACCTCCCGCTGCTCTGCGGCAAGTCTGCGGACGAACTCGACACCGGTGACGGCGAGGTGCCGGCCAAGCCCGAGCGCAAGAGCATCGCCGGTATCATTCGGCGCAAGAGCCACCACCAGCTCCAGCACCACCACCAGATCGGCGGGTTCGAGGGCAAGGGCAAGGAGTGCAAGGGAGACCGCGGACACAAGAAGTCGGCCACCATGAATGTGGTGATGGCGCTCAACAAGGAAAAGCAGGAGAAGAAGAAGAAGCAAACCGACAACGACGCGGTCGACAAGACGAAGCTGGGCAAGTCGGTCGGCCCGCTGCACAAGAGCGCAGACGAGCGCGACGTCTACCGGGTGCTGAAGCGAAGCGGCAGCGACTACGGCGCCAAGGTGAGGACGAAGGTCCAGACGCCCACCCAAGCCCAAGCCCAAGCCCAGCCCAAGGCGGCTTCGGCCGAGGACCAGCCCGGCGCCTCGAGTCCCAACACCGCCAAGCGAAGGCACAAGAGGAGCTCGAGCATGATCGACCGCAAGACGATGCTCATCCACACCACCAAGGCCAGTCAAGAACTGCGTCTCGACCTCACGTCGGTCGAGAAGAAGAAGAACAAGAGCGAAAGCGAAAGCGAGAAGGTGGAGGACAAGGAGACGGAGAAGGCGGAGCCCAAGCCCGCCAGCGAAGAGCACAAAGGACCCGCCGCGTCCCCCAGGATTGGGAGCGTGAAGGAGGCCATGGCCCGGAGCAAGAGGTCCATCGGCTCGTTCCTCCAGAGCCGGCCCGTCTTCAGCTCCCACCCGACTCTCCCCATCGGCAAGGGTACCCCACACCCACCCTCACCACCTCTTCGACTCCCTTGGCCTCACCTCGTGTGTCTCGTGTGGTGTGCGGTTGTGCGATTGTGCGATTGTGCGGTGTGCGGTGTGTGCGGTGTGTGCAGTCGAGTCCAGCCCGACGCGAATGCGGTCGGCGAGCCACGTGGTGACTCTGAGGCCTCGTTCGCCCAGGGAGAACGAGAGCATCGCGTTCGTCAACCAGCTGTTGGATGGGCTGGCGGAGGACGACGAGGCGCAGGTGGACCTGGAAGGCCTGCAGGCCGAGGTGCGCAAGTTCCTCACGCCCGCCGTGCGCAACGGCCTAGAGCCCCTCTGCGGGCACACCCACCAGCTCTCCTTCATCGCCGTTCACAGTACGCACCTCTCACCACATTCGCGCTGAAGGTGGTGGTGATGATGATGGTCTGATCTGCTGTATCACCACAACGCAGGCATTCAGAGCGATGAGGCGAAGCTCAGGGTGATCGACGCCCTGCTGGGGTCGCTCCCGCAGGCGAACCGCGCGACGATGCTGCGCCTGCTGTCGTTCTTGGACCGCACGGCGGTGCGGATGGGCCAGGCCAGCCTGCGGGCCGCGGCCGAGGACAAGTTGCAGCTCGAGGAGGCCGAGCGCCAGCGCCAGCGCGCCCAGCAGGCCAAGCACCAGCCCAAGCCCACCAAGCTCCAGGCCGACCGCAAGCGGGACATGTACCGCGTGCTCAAGAAGCGACGACCCACGGTCGACCACGGCCACGACGCCCACCACCTCTTCGCCTCGCCGTCGTCGTCTTCATCGTCATCGGCCGACGAGTTCCTTCTGAGCGAGATGACCCTCACCTCGCCGTCGACCTCCTTCTCGAGCCTCTCGTCGTCCCTCTCGTCGACCTGTTCGTGCGCGAGCGTCGCCTCCCTCGACGGCGAGGGCCACCAGGCCGGGCTAACCGACTCCAACGGCTGCGGCGCGCTGGTGTGCTACTCGGCCCGGATCGAGCGCGAGCTGGCCGAGGAGCGCGAGCGGATCCAACACCAACGCAAGGCCGACGAGATGAAGCGCAAGATCGACGCCATGTCCCACATGCTCACGACCGACACCGCCAACGCCGGCCTGGTCGAGCTCGACGACGACAAGAAGAAGACCGAAGAAGAAGAAGCAGGAAATGAGGAAAAGGAGAACATCGAGGCGCACGTGATGGCCGAACGCGAAGCCGAGGCCGTCGTTCAGTTTCGCGAGAAGCTGGCCCGCGTGTTCGGGCGGGTGATCGTGGCGTGCGATCGGCTGCCGCACGTGACGCTTCCGTCGGTCGCCCACCACGGGCCTGTCGACGATCAGGCGGCCGTGGTGAGCGTGTCCACCTTCCTCATCGAGCACTGTGAGCAGTGGTTGCGGGGAGACAAGCTGGCGGAGAAGAAGGAGAAGAAAGATGAAGGAAGGAAGTGGAGATGATGATGATGAGAGCAGAGACAACGGCGAAGCGGTGAGGATGAAGCTGAAGATGAGGGAGATGGAGGAGAGGCGAGCGCGCAAGCTGGCGATGGTGGCGCTGGCGAGGCAGAAGAAGGAGGAGCGGATGGACGAGATTCGCAAGAGGAACGAGGAGGCCGAAGCCAAGACCTGCGAAGACCCCCACCGGGGGCGCGCCAGATCCCAGACCACTGTCGCCTGAGCCCTCAGTGCCCCCCAAGATCAGGCAATGCTGGGTGTACATAATTCTATTTATTTATGTAATTATTTATAAAATGTATTTATTTATTTAAGCTTCATGAAAAGGGGTCAGGGGTGAAAGGAATTACTTCATTAAAAACACAACAATGCAAGACAGAGGGAGGGGTGAAGTTGGAGATGGTAGATGTGACCTCTCTACTGCTTGTCGGCGAAGGGGTCGTAGAGCCAGCCGTAGTTGTCAGGTACCCTCTCGGTCTGAATGCCCACGAGCGTGTCATAGAGGTCTCGCGTCACCTTGCCCACCTGAAGAGAGAGTTGTAGACACAGGTGTGAGGAGAAAGAATGAAAGAAAGCAGGAGACACAACAACAACAACCATCACAACACGCAGGAACGGGGTTGGTTGGTGGCGGCGAGGAATGTACCTCTCCGTTGTTGAAGAGATACTTGTTGCCCTTGTAGGTCACGGAGGCGACGGGCGTCACCGAGGCACCGGTGCCCGAGCAGAAGGCCTCCTTGGCCTGGCACACGGTATCGATGCTCACGGAACCCTCGTTCACCTGGCGCCCAGAGGGCCGTGGTCAGTCGTTGGCGTTGCGTGGCGCTGCGTAGCGTTGGCACGAGCGCGTACCTTGATGCCCTTCTCGCGGGCGAGGTGGATGAGACTCTTGCGGGTGACGCCGGGCAGGATGGTGCCCCGCAGCGACGGGGTGTGGATCGTGTCATCGGGCGTCACGCAGAAGAAGTTGGACGCGCCGGCCTCCTCCACGTACTTGTCCTCCTTGGCGTCGAGGAACAGCACCTCGTCGTAGCCGGCCTTCTTCGAGGCCTGCTGGATCTGGAAGCACGGCGCGTAGTTTCCAGCCGCCTTCACATAGCCGGCTCCCTTGGGCGCCGCTCTGTTCATTTGATGCAATGCAATGTGAAGGCGAAGTGGGTGAGTGGCAGCTCACGCGCAGAAGAGGGAGAGCGCGAAGGGGAAAGCTGCGATCGCAGACACACCGGTGGACGTCCTCGGAGGCGATGAGGTTGATACCCCGGATGCCGCCCTTGAAGTAGTTGCCCACGGGCGAGGCGTAGATGACGAACGTGAAGACGGGCGAGGGGGCCACGCCCAGCGCCGGACCGCTACCGAAGACGATAGGGCGCAGGTAGAGCGCACCCCTAAAAGCAGTTGCCGTGCGTGTCGTTGTGTGTTGTGTGTGTGTGTGTGTGTGTGTGTGTGTGTGTGTGGTGTGTGTGTGTGTGTGTGTGTGTGTGTGTGTGTGAATTTCTGTGATTGCTGAGCGTTCGTAAGGGCGTGTGTTCGTACTTGCCGAATGGGGGCACGTAGTGAGCGTTGGCCTTGACGGTCTCCTTGATGCCGTCCATAAACACATCTGAAGGAGGTCGGGATCCAAGTCAGCCGAGACGACACAAGAGACCATAGACAAGAGAAAGAACGAAGAGAAGAAGACGAAGAAGATGAACGCACGCACCCTCGGGAATGGGGGACATGAGGAAGCGAGCGGCGCCCTCGTTCATGCGCTTGCAGTTCTCCGTTGGCCGGAAGATCACAATTCGGTTGTTTGCCGTTCGGAAAGCTTTGGTGTGTGCCCGCACAGCAGCGTTGTCGCGCACGCAGCAGCGAAAGTGAGTGTTGGGGGTCCGCGGGCGGAAAAACGGAGATAGGCGCAACGCCAACCACGACCGGAACATAATTCATCAAAAGAGCACGCGCGGCAAGTGTCGAGTGTGGAGCGGAGTGGAGTGGAGTACCCTTGAGTCCCTCGAACAGGGACTGGCCGTACGAGAAGACGGTGGCCGCAGGTTCGAGCTCGAGGGGTCCGTACTTGCGGATCTCGCCACTACGTAGTTGGGACCGACGCCGGACCCACACGCACACGCACACGACGGAGTCAAATACGAAAAAATAAATAAATAAAATAAAGAGAGAAGGCGGAGAAGGGGGTTGTGTACCGGCCGAAGTCGCTGCCCTTGGGCGTGTTGGCAACGTACATGAAGTCGGTCCTGGTGAGGTTAAAGCCCATGGCCTCCCAGTCCACGTCCTGCTTCGGCTGTGGCACGCCACTGCTCGAGGCAGCGCGCGTGTGTCAAGCCCCGGTAATCGTTGTTAATTGTTTTTATATTAATTGAAAAAATAATTTGATCTAAATCTGCAGCTGGGATATATGCTCTTCATCATCTTTGAAGATGGAGGGATCATCCTACTTCTCCGGCACCCAAGACTCACATCAGAGGGACGATTAAACGGGGGCAAATTACCTGGTGGCCAGACTCCTGCACGAGGCGCTGGCGGCCAATCTGCCGCTTCGAGCAACCAGGAAGGAACTGGAAGATGCTACAGAAATCGTGCGCCTCATGTTGCGGCAGATGAATGAATGTCAAATGTGATCTTCCTGCATGAGGACCAAGGCAAAAGGCCACGCGTGCGCATGCCGGGCATTTCCTCGTCCGGGATCTTCAGCCAATCACGGAGAGTGCCGGCCATTTCTAATTTCCATCAGATCCCCGAGAATCGAAGTCAGCAGTACCAACCAATAGGATCAGGGAAGCAAAGAAAAGGTAAAGAGCAAACAGGGAAAAGTTGTCAAATAATTCCTCGGAGCTAAAAGAAAGGGGAACATAAGGAAAAAGAAATGACGTGGAAACCTGATGGGCAGCCCGCGGGCAAAGGCCGCGCCGCGGCCGGCCGCGACGAAGTGCGTCCCACGTTGTAACAGTGTCGTCCGGCCTGCTGACATTAGGCCCGAAACGTGTAACTGATGTACCGATGCGCCAGTTCTGCTCTCTCCGCCACTCTAATGGTGGCAGGCAATACCTCGTGATTGGGATCCAAGCCTGCAGGGATCGCGCCGCCACGAGTGCGCCTGCCAGAGTGCCATCTTCTTCAGCACATGTGTTGGGCGGGCGCGCTGGTACCCGAGAGTGCACCCTCGGCCCGCTCTGGCGTGCCAGATTCCACGAGCTTGCCGACATTCTCTGCATGCCCTCGCCTCGTGCACGAATCGCGCAAGGCCGTTGTAGGTTTCCGTTGATCGACGGAATTGCAATATTGAATCATACCTTATCACGACAGCGGCTGGCTCACGTGCGAACCTAAAGAGGAGAAAAAACATATTCTGCTCACGCTGAGCTCATGCTTACTAGTGGTGTAGTAGGCCTGACGCCATCTTGTAGAAGAAGAGGGTCATGGACCCATCCTGCTGGCGCGTTACCAGACTTGTCTCAGAGGAGAAGAAGGAGAAGACAAGAGGAGCAAGAAGGGCAAGAAGCGCTATAGAAGAACAAATCCAATATTTAGCGCCACACCAGCAACCACTTCAAGGAGAAGCACCAAGCAGCAACGACAGCCGAGGAAGCACCCATCTCCCGCATCTCCCGCAGTCCTCAACCGGTCTCGTCCAAGCACTCGAGTAGCCACGCACAGCCAAAGACACAACCACGATGGATGGTGAGGGCCGCGAGAGAGCCCCCGAGACCACACGAACCCAGGGCGGGCCGAATCGATTCGCCATCGGTAAGAGCGAGGCCGTTCCAGTAGTGCTGCAATGGTTCGTGCATCTCCAAGCCGAATTTGATAGAGGAGGGGCTACCTTCGAATAATCGGGTGATTGGATCGTAGGTCTAACCTTCTCGATCGCGTAATTGGTTCCATTTCTTCCATCCATCAGGCTTGAAAACAATTACGAGCAGCACTTCGACGAGTCGACCCCCAAGCAGGACGTCTATAACGAGTACTCCGATTTCTGCAAGAAGCACCGAATCGAGCCCACATCCGCATCCGCCTTCGGTCGATTGGTGCGCCTGGCCTTCCCCGCCACCACCTCTCGTCGATTAGGCGCTCGCGGCGCCAACGTCACCGTCTACAATCACTTCCGCCGCCGAGAAGATGCCGACAGTCGCTCCATCCAGCTCACCGCGCTGTCGCAGCAGCCTCCATCTCCATCCGGTCCTCCATCTCTCAACTCGCTTGATGGCGATAACCGGCTGCGCGGAGGAGGTAGCAGCAAGGTCGCAGATGGCCGCACCGCCAGCGTGGAAGATTTGAAGCAGGGTCGAACCTCTTCGCTCAATGGGCCGCGATCGTCGATCGACGAAGCATCTCGGATGGATCAGATTGACGAAGACGAACCCGACGAAGAGAGCCTCTACAAAGGAGCGAACAGTGGCTGCTTCGCCGACGGCGTTGATGGTCTCCTTGACCAGGGATTCCTCTCGCTCGCTGGCCGCCAGCATTCGACGTGCACAACACCGAGCACCTCCACGAACGCGGGCCTTGCCTCGATCATCTTCGACGAGTACCAGTACGATGCGCTCGAAGGCGGCGCCAGCGGCGCTAACCTCCTCATGAAGATGCTGAAGAGCGAAGAGAACGGCGCCGAGCTGTACGACAGCCTCCATCGAATGCTCTACGGCGCGCGGGCCTACCGCAAGGACGGGATGGAGCTTGAGGAGGAAGCCGCGCGAATCAACGCCGACGCCGACGCTGCGGGTACCATTCGCCATCTTGCCCTGTTTCCAATGCACGCACCATCAATCAGAGCACTGGACCCAACACAACATAACACAATACAGGCAAGCAGCTGCAGCTCTATCGAGGGACATACCAACCCGGACAGCAGCACCAGACCATCGGCTACCAGGTACTTGATCCCTTCCCCATTCTTTTCCTACTCGAGATCGCTGGAGCCAGCATCCAAATCTCTTTCACCCGCTTGATCCTCGCAAGAGATCATCTTTTTTTTTTCAATCTCGCGCACGTGAGGCCGGCGCACATGAGGTGCGGCACACGATGGGTGCACGTGTGGCGTTGTTGTTGCCGGCTCTGCGATGAAACGTGTTTGTGTCGGCGGCCTTTTGGTCTGCTCGGCGCACCGCCCCTATTTCAAATCGAGGGCCACACAGCGCCCAACTGCAATCATACAAACGGCAAGCGCTGAAATTTCGAGTTGTATAGGATTTTAAATTATTTTTGTTAAAATATTGTTGGAATTATTGCTCTTGTGTGGCAACTAATTCTCTGATACACTCTATCTACCTCTCTCCACTCCTACAATCTATCGGCACATGTTCTACCATAGGAACATAAAAACAAAAAGCAAAAATTGGACCGATATCAAGATATCCCGTATCTTGACATCGGCCAAGTGGTAAGCCGTGCCCAATTTACCGCTGCTTGATCGCTCTGCAAAGTGCTCAAGCAGAGTGCGCGTTTATTAATTGTCTTCCTCCTTTTGCCTTCACAGGAGGAAAGAAAGCCCGGTTTGTGGAACGCCGATACCCACCTGCACCTGATGAAGCTCTGCGAAACCTATCGGTGCGCACATGCTGAGCATCACACCCGTGGATCGACCGCCTGAGTCTCACAGCCATTCTTTCTCTGCTCGCTTCAGGGATTGCTACACACAGAACCTGTGGCTGCTCAATCCACTCCACCCGGCTGCCTTGGAGGACGACAACATCAGGTACGCGCCAGCAATGTCGCCCTTCACAACGAGCGACTACTTACACAGTTTTCTCGCACCCACCCTACTCCACAGATATATTATGTGCACGGACGAAGGCGCCGAGGAGCGTTCTCCCCTCTCGCTGTCCATCTACTGGATCCTCTACAGCGGAGCTCTCATGGCGGGCCACGTCGAACGTGCGGTGGAGTTCTACAGCAAGGCTCGGTACGTCTGCCATCAACATCTCATCTCATCCCATCCACATTCTCGCCCTCCAGCTCGATTCCGCGGTCAGCTCACATTCTTCACATCTACATTTCCATTTTCCAGTGAGCACCTGGGCCACGTGTTTGACCAAACCGACTCTTCAATCTCGCTCGTGCTACTGCCCATGGCCTATCATTCCCGCTTTTGGGCCGACACCGAGGAAGACGTACGAACTTTCCGCCTCTCTTCTGGTGGTTGGAGATCAAGGCCGACGAGTCCACTCACCTCTCGTTTTTTTTTTTTTTATCTGTGGGCCTATCAGGGATTGAGCAAGTGCGCCTACTACCTCACCCTCGCGATGGAGATCTGCAAGCGTATAGGGTGCCTCGGCAGCAGCGTCTACATATCATGCCTACAGATGTACGCCTGGTTTTGTATGACGGATAATACCAGTCTGTCATATGAGGTACGCCTCAGCCTCCCTCCTCTCACACTCCCTCCACCGCCTTCACATCTTCCCCTTCCATTCACGTTCATCACCGACACACCACCACACCATCACTAATCGTCCGCGCCACAACGCCACAATCCTACACACCACACACTCTTTTCTTTTCTACATTCTGTTCTCATACAACAGAATGTCTTTCCAATCTACGTACGATCTCTCATCAATCCGTGCATTCATGCTCTGCATTGGGTTGTGCTGACGTGTGACGCTTCCGGGGGCGCCGCTGTACCGTTATATCTGAACAGGAGAAGCTGCAGGAGGTCAAGAAGGGCTCCTACTACCCGACGATGCCGATGTCCCTGCAAACCGCCGCCATTCCGCGCAACGCGAGGACCTCCGTGCACATCCCAATCTCGCACCTTCAAATGGTGGAGAAGATGTTTGGCGTCGTGGGCAACATCATGAAGGGCATCTTCATCTTCAAGTCAACCGTACAACCAGGTTCCTCTCTCCACCTCCCACATTCACTCAAGCGCGTTTCTGTTTTTTCTTAGCTAACAAACTAACGCCTCGTTCACTTCCATCGCTCAGCAAACTACCGTACCGCCTCCTCATCTAGACCCCAGGAGCAGTACTCTCGCCAGTCATCCTCCTTTTCTTCTTCTTCTACGTCTGCGTCACACAAGCGAAAGCAACCGGAGGTGCGGTTTTTTCTTCGTCATATCATATGCGCGAAGTGCGGCACGCTCATGCGCTACGTGCTTGGCTATTTCCAGGAACCGAGCCGGGAGAGGCCCTCGTCCTCGCCGGCCGTGCAGCACGCCAGGCAAAGGCGGCGAAGCGACCCGACCGAAACCCGGCTAACCGGCGACGACGGCAGGCAGCACCAACAGCAACATCAACACCAGCAGCAACAGCAGCAGCATCACTACGAATACGAGTACGACCAGCGAGACTTCGTGGCGGCCTACCCCAACATGTTCCGGGCCAACACCACCCTGCAGCCCCTTCTCCTGCCCCTGGAGACCATGGAGCAGGTACTGTGCCACTTCGCAGTCAGGCATCAGCACAAGCGCGAAGAGAAGTGCAATCATGACTCACTGCGTGTGGTTATGTTGCGGCCGCTCGCTGGTGCACCAGGACCTGGAGCTTCTGATGAAGTCGGACAACCCGCTGCCGCTCAACATCTACATGATGTTCAAGCTGTGGATCCTGGGCGAGCGCGCCGAATGCTTCTGGTGCATGGGCCAGCCCCGCGAGGCCCTCCAGATGGCGCTCCACTTCCTCGAGGTGTCCAAGCGGTCCACCAAGAACTTCATCTCGCACTACGTCTCCATTCAGCCCATTCTGGAAATGGTATGCGCTCCCCGACCCTCACCATGCGCGCACCACATTGTTATCATCATTCCCTGTTTCTCACCATCCGCTCTCCTGTCTCGATACATATTTATATATATCTATTTATATGTAAATAGGTGCTGAACATATTCCTGGCCATGTTCCGGTTTGAAGAGTTCCGAGAGCTCCTGGACGCGATCCTCGAACCGCTCAACTCCAATATTCCTCACGTCGCTCGCTCCAAGGTTCGTTCTGCCGTCATCAACACACCCCACCGAGTGACTGTCCGCTGTGTTTATCGGTTCTAATCGGTTGCACCGTTTCTTCAGGCGCGCTACTTCTCAGCGCTCTTTGCTGCCAACCCCGTGTTCTCCTCCTCGGCCGAGATCGACACCTCGGGCACCGTCCCTCGACCTCTCAGCACTTCTGGTACCCCAGGCTCCTCTTACACTTCTCTTCGGCTTATGATGTCCGACTGTGTGTGTGTGTGTGCTCGAAACACAAACACTGACCGTGTCCTTGTTTGCCGCCGTCGCACAGAGTCGGGTAGCGATTCGCCCGAGGGAGTGAGTGGCAGCTCTGGCAGTGAGAGCGGTGGCAGCTGCTCGAGCAACAGGAACAGCTCGGCCGGCCGACCGGGCAACGCCAGCGGCAGCGACGAGTCGCCGCCCTCCTACGGCGGCAACGACAGCAGGTACGCAACATTCTTCATTCTTCTTGCCATTGCCAAGCCTGACCGAGCTTCGTTCTTCGTTCTTCGTTCTTCGTTCTCGTCCAGTGACGAAGGAGGCGATCAGATGGCTGGGCTCACACGCGCCTCGTGACGCCAGGCTGTCGCGCACCGATAGAGAGCGCCACCAAGAGAGGTGGCCACACGTACACAGCAAGAGAGGGAATATTCTCTCACTTCACGCAACAACTCTCTTCACCCAATTTTCATCATTCTCACACACGTATCAACCACAATACATCAACGGCGTCCATATTCAACATCCACACATGTACAAGTATGTTGGATGGACCAGATAAATAAAATAAAATAATTTATAAATATATCAAACATTGTAAATTTTAGAGAGGCATGGAGGCGGAGAGCAACAGGAAGGCGGTGGTGGCCTTCTTTGGGCGCCTGCAGCGGCAGGTGGAGGCGTGGGATGCGACGAGCGTGCAGGGCGGCACGCACTTTGTGAAGATGAACAACCTCCTGCCCACCCTGCCGCTCCTTCGACCATCTGCCGCCGGTGAGATGCAGCGATTAGCGCCCGAGATTGAGGCCGCCTTCCCCGATCTCCGGGACAAGCTGGTAGACCAGCATCGCGTCCTCATCGAAGAACACATCAAAGGCATCCATCTCTCCATGTACCGCTCCTCCCTCATCTTTGATTTATTTCCTATTTTTACAACCTATTAATTCATCTTTGCACAAACAAAAGGCGAGGACTGGGCGCGGTGGTGCGAAACATGCGGCGGGTGAGCGACGAAGCCTGGGCACACTACCGCCTGCACGTGGCCGCATCGCCCGCCGAACGCGACGCTGCCTTCGTGCGCGGAGGTGCGCATCTTTTCCGCGATTGTGTCGGTTGGTGTACTACGGCAAGCTCATCATCACGTAATCGACGCAGGACTCGCGCTGGCTCCCTCTTTTGTGGAGGTCGTTGAGTACATCGACGTCATCGCCAAGATGCACGAAAAGGAGTTCCTGCAGCGGAAGCGGTTGGTGGAGAACATCAGCTACGAGCACGCCGCAGAGACCGAGGGCCTCCTGCAGGTGTGGCTCACCGAGCCACACATCGACAAAGCGCACAGTACAATCACCCATGTCCTTCTCACGCTTCACTCTTTTCACTTCCTCATTATTGATCGTTGCTGTGGTGTGTGCGTGTGCGTGTGTGTGTGCGTGCTCGCGCGTGTGTGTTATTGCAGTGTCGGAGATGGTGGGGGTCGTCGAGAACAGTTCCATCTTGGCCTCTTCACTAAAGACCTGAGCTTTCGAGCATTGCTTTTTATTTTGTACACACGCGAAACTTTATGATGGTGGTGGTGCTGATTACAACGGTTGCGAGCGAGGCGACTCCAGGTCCAGGTCGCCGATCTCATCGCCGAGGGCGGCGTCGAAGAAGGCCAGCACGGTCTCCATGGCGGGTCGCTTCTCGGGCGAGTTGTGCCAGCACTTCTTCATGACCTTCTTGAAGTCCGCCGCGCACTCGGCCGGCACCTGCGGCCGGCGGCCCTCCAGCACATCGAGCGACACGCCCATGAAGTTGCGCCCGGCGAAGGGCTGCTTGCGCGTCAGCACCTGCCACATGACGATACCGAACGAGTACACGTCCGCCTTCTCGCAGTACTTCTCCCCCCGAATCACCTCCGGCGCTGTGTGTGTCGTGTCGTGTGGTGGTGTAGTGTCGTGTCAGTTGAAGATTACAGCACGACACGCGCGTAGTGGTGGCGGTGGGGCGTAGTGGCATACCTGTCCAGCAGGGCGTGCCGCAGCGGGTCATGGTGGCGTTCTCCTCCTTGATGCGGGCGAACCCGAAGTCGGCCACTTTGACGTTCCAGTTCTCGTCGACGAGCAGGTTGGAGGGCTTGAGGTCGCGGTGGACGATGACGGGGTGCAGGGAGTGGAGGTAGTTGATGCCGAGCGCGGCCGAGCGCAGCATGCGCAGCTTCTGCTGGTAGGTGAGCCTGACGCTGTTGTTCTGCAGGATCTCCATCAACGAGCCCTGCTTCACGAACTCGGTCACGATGCACAGATTGGGCCGCTTCACACACGCTCCTGTGATCGCACACAACACACACAACACACACCCCATTTGACATTGCGTGCGCACACGACACACAAGACACGACACGACACACGCGGTACCGATGAAGAGGACGATGTTGGGGTGGTGCAGTTCGGAGAGGAAGGCCATCTCGGCGCGGAACTCGAGCATGCTGCGTTCATCGAGCTTCTGCTTGATGAACCGCTTCACGGCCACGTCGACGCCCTTCCACTTGCCCTTGTACACGACGCCGTACGAGCCGAGGCCCACCTGCCGGCCCAGCTGGATCTCCCCGAAGTCGATCACCCACCGGCACAGGTTGGCCGACGTCAAGAAGTTGTCCTCCTTGAACATCATGCCCTCGCCCACCACCGTCAGCAGCTCGCCGCCGCCATCGCCGCCGTCATGACGATCAACACCGTCCGCCGCGCGCGAGGGCTTGTTGGTCTTGAGGCGACGCTCGCCCACATCTTCGCCGTCGCCGCTGTCGCCGTCGTTGCTCGACGAGTGGGTGGTGTGGGACGACGAGCCGCCGTGGCCGGCCTCGGGCGAGACGCCGCCGAAGAAGCGGGCCTCGAGGCCGCGCACCTTGACCTCGAACAGCTTGGAGCCGCCGGGCGCATCGGGCATCTCGAACCGGCCCAGGTACTGGATGCGCTTGTGGCCCTCCTGCGCCAGCGGGCGGTCCTGCAGCCGGTTGAAGGCCGCGTGGGACATGAGAATCTGGCCGCCGTGCGTGAGGGCCGTGATGCGCGCCGCGGCGTTCACCACCGGGCCGATGTACTCCACCCGCCGCGTCATCGGGTCCTTTACCATACGCGGCTTGCCCCAGTGCACCCCCATCCGCACCCGCAAGCCCTTGAACAGCACTCTTCAACACGACACACGCGACACGACTCACATCAGAAATATAAAAGAAAATTATGAAAAAGACAATAAAACGATGAAGAAAGTTTGGTGGTGTACCGATCGTCTTTGTCGCCCCACTCTTCGGCGGCGCCGGGGTGGGCCAGGAGCTCGCCGGGCCACTCGACCCGGAGCAGCTCCTGCTGGACGTCGATGCACCACTCGAGCGCGTCGTCGGCCTGCTGGAAGGCCATACAGAACGAGCCCTCGCCGCTGTTGCGGTCGCGCAGGAACACGACCTCGTAGCCGTGGTGCTTCTTGAGCAGCGTGCGGAGGGTCTCGTTGTGCAAAAGCGTCGCGTCGCGCATGGCGAGCGCGTTGCTGTCCCAGAGCGACGCGGCGCGCGTGATGTCGGTGAACACGATCGCCACGTCTCCCTCGGGCGGCTTCACGCCCGCAGCCGCAGCTCCGGCTACGTCGCCCACCGAGCTGTCGCCTGTGTGTGCCGGTTTTGGGGGTGAGAACGCACCGCACACACCTGACCGCACGCACAACCGCACACACGCCACCGCACGCGTGTGTCACACAGATGGGATGTACCGGACGAACTGGAATTGCCGCCCGAGCTGCTCGTGTTGCCCGACGCGGTCCAGGACGAGACGCCCATGGGCAGCGACGACGAGGACGACGAGCCCGTCTTGAACGACGAGCCGCCCGCGCCCATCTCGGTGCTGAGGCGGGTCATGATCTCGAGGAATGCGGGCCGGATGACGGGTTCCACATTCCAGCAGCTGGTCATGAGCGCCTCGAACTCGGGCGGCGCGCCGTGCTCCTCCGGGATGGTCGGCCGCAGGTTGTCCCTGATCACCGCCACCGCCACCGCTGCCGGGCTGTGTTCCCACAATTTAGCCCTAAATTCGCGCGTGTGCGTGTGCGGTCGCATGTGTGCGTGTGCGCACGCACCTGAGACCAGCGTAGGGCTGCTGTCGGGTCAGGAGCTCCCACAGGATGATGCCGAAGGAGTAGACGTCGGCCAGCACCAGGTCGGCGCCGGGCGTCTCGTTGAGCACCTCGGGCGCGGTCCAGTGCACGCTACCGCCGCCGCGCAGGTCTTCGGCGCCCGCCTTGTTGGTCTTGATGTCCTCCTTGAACTTGGTGAGCCCAAAGTCCGACACCTTCACGTTCCACTTGTTGTCGAGCAGCAGGTTGAGCGACTTGAGGTCGCGGTGCACGATGCCCGACGAGTGCAGGAAGTGCATGCCCTTGGCCGCCTGGTACGCCATCTTGATCTGCCCGAGGTGTGTGCCGCAAGCGAAAGCGTGAGCACTACGTTCTGGTGTGTGTGCATGTGCGGTGTTGTGGTGCGGTTGAGGCACCTTTAGCAGATAGGGGATGTCGGGCACAAGCTCGTTCTGAAGCAACTGTGGAGACAAATGAACGAATGAAAAGGGAAGGTGAGCGCGAGGCAAAGCCGTGCAGAGATTGTAGGGGGGTTCACGTACGTCGTAGAGGGAGCCGAGGGCCATGAACTCCATGACGATGCACATCCTGGGCGGCTTCGTCGACGCTGCCATGAACAGCACCACGTTGGGGTGCCTCAGGGCCGTCATCACCCGCACCTACGCGAGCCACAGCCCAGCCCAGCCCAGTCGTCAGTTACATCAAAACAACCACCACGCGTACCACTCACGATGTCAACCACGTTGGTGGCGCACCTCCTCCTTGAAGTTACGCTCCATCTCGCGGGAGACGTTGGCGGCGGTCATGGTCTTGACCGCCACTTCGGTGCCCTTCCATAGGGCGCGGTGGACCTCGCCGAAGCCGCCGGTGCCCAGGTGCGCGCCCATCTCGAGCTCGTCGGCGTCGATCTCCCAGTCGTCCTTGCCCCGCCGGTTGCGGCGCGCGTAGACCAGCACCGCGACCAGCGCGCAGAGCAGCAGCAGGAAGACCAGGGTCACAATCGGTACGGCGGTGGACAGGGCCACGATGAGGGCGATGTCGGCAGCGCTGCGGCCCTGGTCGTCGCAGAACTGGCCCTGCCAGCCGCTGTCGCAGTTGCACGCGCCGGCTATGCACACGCCGTGGTCCGAGCAGAGGGTGCCGTCGGGCGTGATGCAGCCATGGAGCGAGCTGGCCGCGACGCCGTTGCAGGTGGTCTCGTCGAGCAGCCTGAGCAGGCGCCGCTTCACCGATGGCACCGTCGCAGCCACCACCACTTGGGCACTGACAGCCGCACAGGCGTGAGTTGCATGCGCGTGCGCGCGTGCGCGCGTGCGCGTGTGTGTGCGGTGTCATCAGAGGGTTGGCGCGTACGCGGTTGCCATGGACGAGGCGTCGGCGTCGGTCTGAGCCCAGTAGAGGTAGTCGAGCAGTCCGCCGGCCTTGGTGCAATCGGTCATCTCGCGCGTGTGGATGGTGATCGAGTTGACCAGCACCATGGGCCAGCTGTTGGCCCCAGGCGCCAGCGAGATGGCCGACGTGATGTCGTCCTTGTGGTCCATCATCGCCGCGTAGATTGTGGTCGGGTCGCACGGCACCAGGTTGTTGGCCTCGTTGTAGATCGAGGCGCCCTTGATCGTGCGCGACGTGACCACGTCCGGGTTGTGGTGGAACGCAAAGGCGTAGGGCGTGTCGATGATGGCGTTGAGCAGCGCAAAGTTGCGGATGGTGCTGCCGATGGTGCGGCCGGGCACGTCCATGGCTGGGAAATGGCCCAGGTAGGTGGTCGAGTTGCCCAGCTCGGCGCGCCACTCGGGCACCTTGCGGCTGAGTGCGTCGGTGAAGAGGGCCGTGGCCGGCGACGACGGGTCGTTCTGGTAGACGATGATAATCGATCGGTTGGGCAACAGGCTCTCCAGTAGTGGGTTGAGCTGCTTGATGTACGGGTCGTTCCACATCTGTGTGCGATGATGCGTGTGCGGTGGTGCGTGTGCGTGTGCACAAATTATGAGCACGATGAAGCGCTGATAAGAAGTGAACATATGGAAAAGGCGTACGGTGATCCTGTTGAGGTAGATGTAGGCCATGGCCTGCCAGTCCAGAATGAGGGGCTCCTTCGAGCCAACAATTTCAGGAATCTGTTACCATGCGACAATAGGTAAGGAAATCAATAGGAGATAAAATCGACGCGTGCGAGGTGAGCAACGTACGTTGTAGTAGGGAATAATGCCGTAGCCGATCGTGGGCACGCCCGCGGCGTCGGGCATCAGCGCCTGCTGCGCCGGCGTGAGCGCCGTGCTGAGCGCGCCGTAATCGATGTCGCCTGCCAATCGCTCGCGTGAGTTATTGTCATGCTTTTAACTCCGATGGCTTATGATAGATTGATCGTACCCGCGACCATCTCGTCGATGGCGGTCTGGGAGATGGTGGAGGTGTACTGCACCTTGAAGGCCGTGCTCGGGTAGTTGGCCACCCAGGTGTTGTAGATGGTGAAGGGCGCCCCCATGCCGAGCAGCACGGCCGTTTGGAACGCCTTGCGGTCGTTGCAGTAGATGGTGCCCATGGCGTCGATCAGGCGGCGCCGGTAGGCATTGATCAGCGATGTGTAGCCCAGCGAGGTGGCCACGCTTGCCGCCCTGGAATTGAGTTGTGTCCTAAAAAAGGTCGATGATGAGTTCGATAGATGTGTACTGGGCGGGCGAGTTGTGGGCGAATAGAGGTGGTTACCAGGAGATCAGAAGCAGGAGCTCGCGAATGTTGGAGCAGTCGGAGGAGGTGATGTTCTTGGGGATGAGGGTGAAGCTGATGAAACTCATCGGCCACGACCCGGTCCCGTTGGCGTTTAAGATGTCCACGGTGAGATGCCCTGGACCGGAAAAGGAGGTAGATTAGACACAGTACCGAAATGAATATGTTCCAAAAATACATGTAATACCCAAAAATAAAATAAACATCTACTGAAAATAAAAATAAAGTTAAAAGCTGTCGCAGGCCATACCGGAATCGATGGCTGAGCGGTACGCGGTCATGGCCGCTTGCACCGCTGTTTGGGTAGGACTCACAATGGACCCGGCGGCGTTGCGCATGCGCGACACAGCGAGGCCGGCTTCATTGGCCTCGAACAGGGTCATGTAGGTCAACGAGTTGTCCGTGGTCTAAAGGTGTGTTGTGTGGCCAACCATCTCATTAGTCTTGTGTGGCGCGAGGCAGAACCACAAAAATAAGAAACAATCGCGGTACCTTCACGAAATTGATGCGCTGGGCGTCGGTGCTGAAGCCCTGCGACGTGCCCAGGGACGCCGCCGGAGGCAAGTCCTCGAGGAGGCCGTCGCGCGGAAAGCTGCCGTTGGTGAAGACGTTGAGCGCGCGCTTGAAGACGGTCGTACTGCTCACCGCGCTGCCTGTGCGGAAACTGGTCCTGATCTCTGCATCGGGCAGGCGCGAGCCGATGTCCGGGTTGAGCGCGACGATGGCCGAATCGTTCCAGCGGGTGATCTCTCCGCTCCAGATCCGGGCCACCACGTCGCCCGAGAGGACCTGCAGGCGGCAACAACAAAAGAGAGAATAGGAGTTAAAATGGTGGCTTTCTCAGAGATAGCCCAAGCATGTCGTAATCGAGGCTGTCTCATCACCGACATCAATTATTATGTTCGCCAACTGCCGCTTGTTTAGGTTGCGAAAGCAACTCCGGCATTTTATCAGCCAATCAGGCAGTTCGGACAGATCCCGAGGCGCCAGTGGGCAGATTTTGCCATCCGGAGTTGCTTCCAACCCCGCGGTCGATGGTGGTTGTGGCACATTGCGTTGGGTGACGGAGAAGAAGGTGGCGGTGGTGGTTGTGGTTTGGGTGGTGCGTACAAGGGAGTCGTTGGCCAAGAGCGAGGAGGACAGGTTGTAGCCCAGGACCAGCGGCAGACCGGCGGTGGGCAGCTGCACGAGGCCCGGCACGCCCTCGAGCTGGTCCAGGTCCAGGGCCGTGTCCACGCCGACAAAGTCGACCAGGGTTTGGTTGTACTGCGTGAGGGCCTGTGAGATGGGTGCCGCCGAGTAGGCGAGGGCCACGTTGTCCTTGTAGTAGCCGTAGTAGACGCCGTACGAGTTGTAGAGATTGGCAGCCGCCGCGCCACCCGCGCCCACGAGCTTGACGCTCGACTGGGCCTCAACTGTTCATTTCAAACGACAAGATGAGATATAAAGCTGAGCAGGAAGAGGTGGGTGTGAGATGCAAGAGAGTATACCGGAAGAGAGGAAAAAGGCGAGATGAAGAAGGAGGCATAGCATGGAAAGGAGGCGCGCTTCTTTATGCTGCTCCTCTCGGCCTCTGTGCATGGCGAAGGTGAAGGTGGAGGTGGAGGTGGGCTGTACTGCCGTCGTGGTGTAGTTGAGGTAAAAATGTGAGAGTGGTGGCGTGAGCCGAATGACCTAACCGTTGTTGTCCTGGTGGCCAATGGCTTGCGCCTGCCCCTCTGGCAGTTGAGGACAACTCATCTGGTCGCGCTGGTTAGTTTGCGCTATCAACTCCGCCCCGTCACCCAAATCTCACACAGGCCCGCGAGGCCAGGCACAGAGCTCTGGCGAACATGTCGTTGGTTGGCCATCGCTTCTTCTCTTGTTCACGGATACCCGAACTGTGGGGCCTTGTTGCGTGGTGATGTCTCGTGGTTACACTTGCGTTTGCATTTTTATTGTGGTGTTGTTGGCTTGCGCTCTTGTTGTTGTTGGCGCACGTGTGTGTCTAAAGTTACAATAAATAGGGGGGAATGGTACTGTCTCTCTCCCTTCTCCTTCTTCTCCACCTCCATCTCTCCATTTGTTCATCCGCCTCCGCCCTCCACCGCTCTCGCGTTCCTCGGTGCTCTACAAGGAAGCGCCATCGAGCTGGCCACCGGTGCCCCTTGGCGTTGTCTCCTCCTCCCTACTCCACACGTCGCCGTCGTCACCTTGATCAACGTTGTTGTCGCCGCCCCGATCGAGCCGCGCTCGCTTGGTGCCTGCTGCGGCGGAGCGCTCTTCGTCCTCCTCGCTCTTGTCGTTCCCCTCGCCATCGGCGCCGTCGACGTTGTCTTCGCGGTAGTGCTGCGTCCGCACGGCTGCTTCATCGCGCTTTCGCTTCTTGGTGTGTTGCGGTTCAAGACCCTCGTTGTCGTCGTTGTTGTCGTCCGCTTCACGGGCATGAGGATCGGCCCAACGTCGCTTGATCGAGCCCACCTGGCGCTCAACCTCGTGATCGCTTTCGTCCTCGCCCAGAGGCATATGTACAGAGGCGAGGTCGGTCTGGTGCGGGAGCGGCCGATGCGGTGATGAGAACCCGGAAGAAGGAGACGACGGCGAAGAGGGCGTTGTTTTGGCCCCGTCGTCCATGTCCTCTTCCTGCGGCTCAGGCGCGCCGTCCAGGTGGCCGATGAGCTCTTCCTCTTCGCTTTCTTCACTCTCGCTCTCATCGTCAGCAGCTGTTGACGCAGTGGCCCAGGTGAGCAGCGGAGCCGCATGAACACGGACTTGAAGGAGAGGGGTGGGCACGCACCTTGATTCTGGCGCCTGATATAATCCGCGCGGGGCTTGTGTTGGTAGTAGAACTGCATGATTTCGCCTGTCGATCTTGTCGGTACCTAAGAAGTAGAGAGAAGTCAGATCAATGGTGTCTCCGCATCAAGGAAAGTTGCAACCGGTGTTGACGTACCATGGTTTGGATCTTCTGCCAGTTTTTGAAGTAGAGACCCCAGCCAGTGACCAGAGCAATCTTCTCTTCGTCGCTCCAACGTTCTGTGCAGAGCAGTCAAACATGAGTTCATTAGTACAGTGGTCTCATCAGTGGGGAATGCGAGCTGGCACAAACCTTTGTGGAAAGGTTCTGGGTCAACAAGAAGCGATGCTAGTGCGCCGTTGGCGTCATAGCTGTGCCTGTGCAAGGCGACCAGGGCCTTCTCCTCCGAGAAGTCGTCGTGGTCCACCAGTTCTCGCACGTGCGCAAGATAGTCCTCCACTGTAGGGAAAATTGAGAAGGTGAGCGAAATGGAACATGCTCACGCGAGTGGGCGCATGCACACATACCCAACTCATCATTGACTGAGTCGGGCGACCACATGAGCTCCTCTTGTCGCGGGCCGTCATCCTCTTCAGAGTCCGCTTGATCCTGCAGTAGCCAAGAGGTTCAGTACGTGATGAAACTCTATACGGACAAGAGGAGAGGTTACCTCGGTAGTGGTGGGGGTGGTTGCAAGTAGAAGGCGCTGCTCTTCGGATAGGAGCGACGGAAGGGCCGCTTGGAATCCGTCGCCGATGAGTGGAGGCTTGTAGGTGTGGTAGGGGAAGTCCTCGTTGCGCCGATGCAGCGCACGTTGGTCTTGCCACTCTCCAAACTCCACAAGGACGCCGCCATCGGAGTCGTCGTCGCTGTCGTCGTCTTCGCTACGGCTCAAGGCGTCGCCGTCACTGCTGGTGCTGGACCATTCGTCCTTCTCGCCCGTCTGCAGGTAGGCCTCGTAGAGCGCACGCGCGTCCACAAGCCGGGGGGACAGCTGCGGTTCCTCTTCGGCGTCCTCGTCGTCGCTGTCGTCGGCATCGCGGTCGCGGCAGGAACTGGACCCGGCATCTTCGTTCCTTCCACTGTCGCTATCGCAGTCGTCGTACGCATCGCCGATGGTGGCATCTTCATCCATTGGGGTGGCTTGTTGCGCGTCGAAGGAGGCGGGTTGAGAGATGACCACGTTGGCGTCGGTTTCGGCGGAAGAACGTTGAATGCTCATGTCGGTATTTGATGCGAATTGGGGAGCGGCTTGATCAACGTCGTCGATCGGTAGGTCGGTAAGAGGCGAGGCGGGGGTGGGACTTCCTCCTCTCGATCGGCAGGAGACGGTAGATGTGTCGACAACGAATGGGGGCGAGACTTCGGAATCAGCAGCGATGATGGAAGGGCAATTCTCGACGTGCTGCACTGAGAGCCGATGCATGAGGTCCTCGCCAGTCGTAGTTGAGTCTTCGGAAGGTAAAAGGACTTGATCCAGGTCGGTGCGGTGGTCGGCAGTAGACGTGGCGAGGAAATTGACCGTTGGACGTTCGAGTAGTGGCTCGGCCCCGTCGATGCCAACAAGAGGCTCCTCGGCGTACCACTCGAAGCTCGACAAGATGGATCGACAAGACGTAGAGAAGGGCGAAGAATGGGGACAGAAGGCGGGTAACCTCGATTGGGCTTGCTGGAGCATCTGAATCTCGTCTAATTTCTCGTCCGAAAACGATGGTTGCGTAGTCCCAGCTTCATTGGTGCTGGATTTGCCCTCTTGATCGAAGAGGTGGAACATGGAGGCCACCTTCTAATTACTCCTCTAATTTGTTATTTTTATTTTTATATTTATTTTATTTTTCGGGGTGCCAGGTAGCAGACAAATTTCGTTCCCAAAGCTGCACATTTTCCGCTCCTTCGCCAAGAAGACAAGAACGATAAAAACAAAAGATGGAAGGGGAGCAACTGCGGCACGAAGGAGAGGGACCGGCTCGATGCAACTGCGCTCATCCTGCCGGCGAGCACGCTCATGACAGCGAAGACGAAGGTACAACTTTAATCTGCATCACCAATTCATTAATTGATACGATAACAACAAAAGATGAAAGGGGAGCAACTGGCCACAAATTCATATATGAACCACAAATCGTTTCAAATAATTCCAGGCCAAGGTCTCCCATCCATGGAGATCACGGCCACCGAGCAGGCCAACAAGTACCTCCTCAACAGCTTCAAGCAGTCGGTATGCACTCTGCTTTTACCAACTGTCGCTGCTCGGAGGCTTTGTCTCAACTTTCTCGCTACAGGCGGTGCTGGAGAAGTTCACCGGCATAGGCGATGATGGCGCCGCTGGTGCAAACGACGACGAATGGGACACTCCCGAGAGTGAACACGATGACGAACCCGCCGACGGCGCTGGTAACCACCCCACCGCCTAACCTCTACAATCGTTGTCGCACTCACCATGGGCGCTTGATCCTCTCCAACTCTCTGTATGCAGAGGTCATACGAGCGGAGGTGGAATCCTTGTCCATCACCAACGATAGTGATGCCGCACAGTGATGCGTGGGCCGCTAGTCACGTCTTCACCTCTTCAGCTGTGCTGATGTTATTTATTAAAAAGGCGCATCTTCACAAGCAAGCATTTATTTATTTAGAAAATAATAAATGAAAATGGAGATAAAATGAAGGTGGTTCGGGAAACGTGCGAGAGCCCTTTGGCGCAACCTGTTCGGAACTGCGCCCAGCACGCAGCACATGGAAGATGGAAGGACGGTCGCAGATGAGGTATTATCCGCTGATTCCTTCCTGACTGTCGAGGGGAGCTCGGTCCATCCACCCACGCCGCACCCGGGCGCCAGGCCACCACTACAACTACGCCTGGGCGGGGACCCAGAATCATCTTCTGAGGGAACAACGACTGAAGAGGAGGAAGAAGAAGACGAAGACGGTGTGACCCGAAGACACAGCATGGATGATGGGGACAGCCCGCCTTCAGGCGCCGCCGGGCTTTTCACACCTCCGATTTCCATCGTCCTCTCCTCCAGCCGTGGCGCGTGCTCTCGCTCCCACTGCAGGTTCGTTGTTCGTCCCTTTCGCTCTTTATTTTAATCGATAATTGAATAATAAATACCCCTATTCAATTATTTTATAATAACGTGAAATAATAATAACACTTATAACACTTTATTTATTCATTTATTACAATAATCATAATACTAATAATAAAAATAATCATCGGCCAGGTGTGACGGCTTTCTGCCCAACTACTGGGACGGGCACTACTGCCGCAATTGCCTCCACCTGGCCACCTTCCACGATCCCAACTCGACCTCCGAACCCTCCGGCGGTGCTCCCCAGCGTACGCCCTCTCCTCCTACGCGTGTGCGGTGCGTGCGTGCGTGTGCGGCGCGTGCGGTGCTCCCCAGCGTACGCCCTCTCCTCCTACGCGTGTGCGGTGCGTGCGTGCGTGTGCGGCGCGTGCGGTGTGCGGTGTGTGCGTGCGTCAAAGCAAAGTCTCACCTGTGTGGTGGTTGCGACGGTGGCAGCGAGCACGTGGCACAGCTTCCCCAAGTCGTGGGACAAGTCCCGCTTCCTGGCCTCGCTCGGCGTCGCTCCGCTGAGCGACGCCAAGGGCACTGCGATCCCGCGCGGCAGGTCGGACAACCAGCCGCCCCGACGCGCGGGCGGCCGCGGGGCCAACCCTGGCGCGGCGGCGACGGCCGCAGCGGCCGATGGCGATGACGTCAGCGACAGCGACAGCGACGGCCAGCCGGTCGGCCGCGCCTACGGCCGCGGTCCGCTGTGGAAGAGCGACGGCTCGCGCCCGATCGGAGTTGAGCGAAGGCACCCCGCCGGCGACGACGACGAGGCCTCGCTCAACCAAACGGTGTTTATAACTCCGATTGCCGCGCAATCGTCGGCGGCGGCGATCGAAGCGGCGGCTGCGGCGGCCAAGGCGGCCGAGGCTCAGGCCGAGGTCGAGGCAAAGGAGATGACGGCGCTGATGGAGATCGTGACGGCGCTCTGCGTGCAGCAGAAGGAGAACGAGGCGAGCCTCGAGGAGGTGACGGTGGTGATGGGCGAGCTCGAGCGCAAATGGCGCGCGGAGCAGCGCGAGAACGAGAAGGAACGGCGGCAGGCCCGGCGGCACTACGAGGACAACATGAAGAAGCGCGACGCCGAGATCATGCGGATGCGCGAGGAGCTCAAGCGCGAGCGATGCCTCCGCGAGATGGCCGAGGATCGCGTCAAGCGGGCCGACGACGCTGCCAAAGCCGGTACGCCTTCCATCGTCGTCATCATCGTCACCATCATCACCGTTACCGTAATCACCTTTTGATTGACGACCAAACCCTGACACTGCAGCCTGCGAGGACTTGGCGTTCATCGTGGCTTGCGTTCAGGCGAGCGGAGGCAACTTCTACCGCCGCCCGCCGGCGCCTCCCAATCGTCGAGCAGCGGCCTGGATCGCCGGGGCGCTGTCAAGAAAGAAGGTGGTGAAGGGGGTGACGATGGGGAGGACGACGACGGCGACGACGACAGGGCGGACGATTGGACCACGGCCAAGACCTTCGAGAAGCGACCCGCCAACTTCTTCCTGCCGGCGCCGGTTGCGGTGCTCAGTGGAGGCAGCGGCGGCGGCGGTCGTGACTCGCCGACGCGCCACCCCGACAGCCCCGGGCGAGTCGACGAGCTCGACAGCGACACCGCCGCCAAGAACGAAGACGGCGGTGCGGTACCGGCAGCAAAGAACGAAAGCGAAGCGCGACGAAACGACGAGGGGGCTTCCGCCGAAGGGAAGACAGCGGCGGCCAGCAAGCGAGACGAGGTGCTGGAGCAGATGGCGGCGATCTATTGGAAGGAGCGGCGAGAGCACCGAGTGACCAAGGAGGCCCTCGAGCGCGACATTCGCGAGCAGCGGGCGCGCATCGAGAAGCTCGAGCAGGAGAACGAGAAGCTGATCGACAAGATCCAGGAGATCGAGCTGCGCGAGCTGGCCGTGCTCGAGAAGGAGAAGCGGATGAGCCTCACCCCCGAAGAGGGCGAGCGACGCAAGCTGGAGTACCTCTTCGAGAAGCTCCTCAACGTCGGCAACATGGTCAGCGAAATAACCCACGAAATCCAGCTCATCAAGAAATAGCATGTTGTCACACAACATTAGAATGTAAACAAACAAACAAACAAACAAGTCAGGCATATATTGTGGTTGGGTGCCAACATCAACGTGTTGTGTGCGGCATTGCCTCTTCCATCACAATAAAGTAATTAAGCAGCTGACGTCAGCCAGTATAACCGACTGTAGCAACCCAGAAACAGAAGTGTGTTGTGTGGACGACAGCCGCACTAGTGGTGCGGCCCATGAGGTTTGTTGAAGATATCGACAAAAATGGAGTGCTTGAGGGCCTCGCGCTCGACGCCCTGGATGCGGACGAGCGCCTGTCGGTAGAGCGCGGATTCTGGTCGCATGCCGGCCAGCCGGCGATACACGTCCTGCGCCTGGTCGTGGTCGTGCAGGGCCTCGTGCGCGAGCCCAAGTCTGTACAGGGCCTTCTCGTGCTGTGGGTCGATTGCCAGGGCCTGCCCACCGTATCAGCACATCGTGCGTGCGTGTCGTCGGTCGTGTCGTCGGTCGTGTCGTGTCGTGTCGTGTCGTGTCGTGTACCTTGCATGCATTTTCGATGGCTTTCGGGTAGTCCTTGAGGTGGTAGAGCGCGGCCGCCAGGTTAGCGTGCAGCGGGAGCAAGCTCGTGTTGAGATGGGCCTGCTCTTCCTCAGTCAGGAAGTGCAGCCCGTTGAACGTCGCCAGGCCCTGCAGCCACCACCACCATACACCATCATTACATCAGCTCGCTGCGTGCGTAGCGGGTCGTGTGTGTGTGTGTGTGTGGTGCGTGGGGCACCTTATTGTAGCAGCGCACGGCTTTGCGATAAGCCTTGAGCCGGAAATGATCGTTGCCCGACTCCCTCTCCCGGTCGGCGTTGGCCATGCGCTGCTCGAGCGGGTCACCGTGCAGGTGCCCCTGCTTCACGCCTCTCTGCACACGCCGCA